GAAAATGACCTGTTTAAAAAAAACCTTTGGAATGTAATGTAACAAATCGGCAGGACCGTTACCTAGCAACCTCAGCAAAGCCCAGCCCGTTACCTAGCAACCTCAGCAGAACTCCAGTGCATTCGGTCAGCTAGTTTTACTGGTGTACAATAGTGGGGAAGTGTTTTGTTGTTTACTTACTCTTCTGAAATCACTTGTTGCATTCTTGTCTACTTTTCAAAAATGTACGGTTGTATAATTGCACATCTGTTTGCAGCTATTGTCATCGAGTTGGGGGGCGTGGTCAGCAGAAGCTTATTTGGATTTAAAGTGACAAGATGCCCTGAAAGCTCATTTTGAAACCAGTGCAAAATAGGCATTTCATTATGCAAGAAAGATTTTGTACAAAAAAAATGTTACGAACATGTTTTGTATAGCCAAAACACTTATCCTAACCTGTTCAAAAAAGCACTGCAGGTCAACTTTTAGCAAGAGAAAACAGTAAATTTTGAAGTGTTGTAATGTGATTGTGTTAGGATTGCTGTTTAGATTTTTTGCTAGCTTTTAGAAAGTCATATGTATTGGTAGAGCTACGTCTTTTAGTTGGATATCAACACCTCTAGAAGGAAGCAAAGCAGCTTATTAAAAAGTAGAATGGTGAGAGACAAAGGTTCTGACAAAACTGAACGATGCTGAAGACTTGAATACTCTATATTCCTATAACACTCAGATACACCGCTTGATCAACGGCTTTTTAGGATTATCACAATCCGGGGATTTTACCCTTCAAGCCAATGGGTCACAGTGGTGAGAAGAAATCAGAACAGGGTAGAGAGGGGCAAAAAAAAATACAGCAAATTAAACTGGCTGTGTCCATAAAGTATAGCTTCAGTTTTTCAGGACAAAAATAACCTGTCCAAAACATTTCCAAAATCTGGGTCTGGGAACAAGTATCACCTGTAAGTAGGCCTATCACAATAATCAATAAATCAATTAATCGCATGATAAATTGAAACAAACTCAATTATTTCCATTTTCATAATTTATCATTTATTTTTTTCTCTCTTCCTACCAAAAACTGGATGATAAAAGTCTTCAGTCTGGTGCTTTGGTGTCAACTAGCCCCTTTTTGAAGAACAATGTTTACAAAGACTTCAAAATTAATGTTATTTGTTGTTTTGTTTATTTATTTTGGATATTTAAAATGTCTTCCAGTTCCAGTGATAAATGTTGTTAAAGTTTACTGATCTTTTAGAATGCGTTCTTGCATTATTATTTTGTCATTATCAAAATTTGAGACCATTTGTAAAATGGTCTCAAAACAACAATATTATAGTTTATCGCAATAACTTCTGGAAAATTTATCATCCAGCATAGTTTGTTATCGTGACAGGCCTACCTGTAAGGAATTTAACCTCATTGGAATAAAATGCCTATAATCTACTTTTTAAATTGTAGTAAATTCCACTTTTCTGAGATCAGAGTCTGTTGCTAAACAATGTTGAGTGTCATTACAGGTTGGGTTGGTAGCACTGGGAAATGCATTTAAAAACGTCTCAAAAACAAAATCAGTCCATCTCCATGTGTGCCAGCTGACGTCAGCGTTCGGTGAAATCACCAGAGAACTCAGGGGATAAAGTCGTTCAGCAGACAACAAATAACCTTTCATGTTTCCCCGGCTAGACGAGCTGTGCGACTGATACGGCATCTTCAAAGCGAAATTGAAGCGGAGAGCTTCCGCTTGCGGAGTTCAGGAAGCGGTGAGCGGCCCGGGGACCATTACGCCGCATTCAAACAGGAAGCCAGCCAGGTTGTGGGAAGCTAGGATGACATCTGGTAGCTCCATCAAATGAAGGAGCTGCTTCGCTAAATGTGTTCAGCATATGATGTTGGAAAACAAAAACGGTTCATGCAGGTGATTAGCTTTAAACATTTCCAAGTCAAAATGTGTGAAGTTAGACAGACATGGGCTTCGTTCACACGTCTTTGTCACTATTCCGCTAATAAATAATAAAAAATAAAAAAAAACACAGTTTCACAATTGCAAATTGAATTAAAATCACATGTGAAAAAGCTTGATCACGCGATAAGTCATTAAAAATCATGGCAACGACAGATGTAAACAGTTACATGAGATATTCATAATTCAGCCATCAGAGGAGACGTTGGCGTCTGATTCAGCCACTGGAGTGACAAATTGGCTTGTCACAACAACTCAATTAATCGCATGATAAATTAAAAGAAACATTTTCATTTGATTGATTTAACATTTTTCTCTTCTCTCTTTCTACCAAAACTGCTCTTCAGTCTGGTGCTTTGGTATCAACTAGCCCTTTTTATATATATAAAAAAAAGAACATTTTGTTCACAGAGAATTTATAATTCATTTTATTTGTTATTTTCTGTATTTATTTTGGATATTTAAAATGTCTTCCAGTTCCAATGTTTAAAATGTTCATTAGAATTTAAAGTTTATTGATCCTTGAGAATGCGTTCTTGCATTATTTTATTGCTTGAAATAAAATAATGCAAATATTACTGTTTATCGCAATAAGTTCTGGAACAATATATTGTCTAGCAAAATTTGTTATTGTGACAGGCCTAGCGACAATACATGGGAGTGACTGGGTATGCCACGTTTTGCCGATTTTACGGAAGAGTTATGGATTCAAATGACAACATTTCATGAAATGTGTGATGCTGTGAGAACTCTGGTGGAGACAGATGCACATTGTCCAAAAAACCCCCAAAAAACAAAAGTAAACTATCATCCTCCTCCTATTTCCTGTTGTCTTCTTCATCGTTTCCAGCAGTAGTAACATCCGGTTGTTGATCATGTGACTCGTGATGCGTAAGAAGTGTTTCCATTGCTCATCATGAACTCATCCTAGCGCAAAAAACATGAATTTTGTCGAAATTGACATGTTTTTCTTTTCAGCAAATTTATTTTCATTATTTCTATTTGGCTAATTCTATGGTTAATATAAAAATGCAGATGATGATTAGTGAGACATGCTTCATTAATCTGCATCAGAAAAAGCCAGACACAGTAATCAGGATGTAAACAACGGCTGACAATTACGATAATGAAATTATGGAAGAAGTCTGTGTCACTCAAGCACATTACATCACAATCTCGCCGCTCTGACAGACAGAAGTTGCTAGTAGCTATTCTTTATTTAAAATTAGTAAAGGATCTGTGATGCTGTGGGCCTGCCTCTCTGTCAGAGAACGCTCTGTGGAGTTATTTTGCACTTACGCTTTGTAAGAGCTACAGCAGACATAACGTTTATACCCCTTCATACCTTGCACATGTTCTTCCACATGGTTAGAACACAGTTTCATGTGTGAAGAATCAGCAGGGATCCCTGCTAAACTCGCTGTGACAAAGATGCATGGGGAGTGGAACATTTCTTCAGCTGAACCTAGAATTACCGCCTCGCGGTTATTTGCCTCCGTCAACCAGACCGGTTTCGGTTTACCTCCGTGTCTGCTTCTGCTCCCCAGTCATGGCTCTGAATAATAAGCGTTTCTGCAGAGCATCACCATGATAAGGTGAGGCTTGTGCCTCACGTCGAACATCTGGGTAAAAGGTTATTAAAACGGAGCCAAACATCAAGTCTGAACACTCAGAATTAAAGGTTGATGCAGAAAGTGTCTGAAACCAAGAAACCGGGACAGGAAATAGTGAAATATTGATATTAAATATACAGTATTGTGCATTGCAAGCAAATAGGCAAAGGAATAACCTATCATGAGGCGATGGTTAATGGCATGAGCCCCCCCACAAATAATTCATTTTATGCCCTGGACTGAAACTGCACACTTGAACCAGCATTAAGAGCTAAAACACAGCTGTGAAAACGTTAACTGTGGAAGTCAGTTGTGAGCTTCAGCTAAGCAAATAAATAATACAGTACCAGGGAGAGATTACAGGATGTAAAGACATTATTTTCAGTGTTTGCACATCTGATTCAATTTGAAGTAACTGATGGTTTGGATTCTGGGGGCTGCCGTTACCTTGGGCTTGAGCAGGTTTAGTCGGCTCTGGACTCTGTTCCTCAGGGGTTCTGGAGAACACCCAGTGGACACTTCAGGGGATCTGAAAGCAAGAAGTGAAGTTGTATAAATTAAGAAAGCCAAAAGCTTCAACATGCTTTCTGTATTTTATTTTTTTCTTTAATCTGCTGTCCCGTCAAAGATCTTCGCAACCATCAGACAACAGATTGCAATCACACCCTCAGGCTGCTATTTTGCTGTATTTTTCTTTCAGATGTTTGACCCGATAAATTGTTCCAGTGTGATGTGGGAGGAGTTTCCCCCCATGTGGTTTCATCGAGAGTTGCCATGAGTCCCATGTTGGTCGGATCGTTGCTGCAGGGCTTTTCCCGTTCTCACAGAGTGTAAAAACAGCCTAATTTAATTCAAAGTCAGTGTGACAAGCACAAACTTTAGATTTCAATCCTTTTTCCAATATGGACTCCAAAGGAAAACAAGTTTATTGGGACACATCAGACTTGAGTCTGAAAGTATCAGTTCAGGTTTAATAATAACCAATTTAACAGCATAAATTCATATGATAATAACAAAGAAAAACATAGAATAGGTCCGCAGTTTGCTGCTAATATTAACGATTAAAGGTTTGGTTTTCAAGGGAAGTATTTGTGTATCTTTTTTTATTTTTAATAAACTATATTTGGAAAAAAAAAAGATTTTATGTTATGTTTTGGATTTAAGAGTTAACCATTGAAGAAGATATTTATATTTTTGTCCTTCTAAAACTACAAATACTTATAGAATGACATGTTTTTTTTTTTTAGAAAAATTGTGGTTCTTTACATTCATGAATGCTAAATTGATGCCATTTAGAAGAAATGACTGACAGCAGCTTGAAAAGCAGGAGCTTTAAAAGAAGAAAGCTGCATGTCTTTAAATTATTTGCAGCCATTCAATTGATTGAATTAATCAGGCTTTAGTGCAGTCAGCATACAAAACATTCATCCAATTCTCTCTTATTTCAGGGGAACCATACATGAAACAAAGAGGACGGGTCCAACCACAGAACCCTGAGGGATTCCAAAACCAACTCTGGTGGAAACTGGAATCTGTCAGGTGAATCTAACCTGAATATTTTGTTCTGTTAGATAAGAGGGTTGCAGAATGAATCCTTTTATTTTTTATTTTTTTATATTTTGAGAACATTTCTATATGATACAAATTCTTATAAAGCATCAGCTTTTAGTCTGTTTCTTTCTGCAAAATTTACATTTTGGACTTTTTTTTTTGTACTTCCATTTGGGTCTCTACAGGTTAAACAGTTAAGAAAGAAAACAAAACAAAACAACCCAGCTGTTTTTTTTTGGCAATAATTAATGTATTTTGTTGTCTGGAAAATTAGCTCTCTCAAAAACCTCCAGAATGTCCCAAATCAGCAGGTACTGTTTCCTAGCAACCTCAGACCATCACCTAGCAACCCAAGCAGAGCTCCAGCACATTTTGCCAGCTGGTATAATGGCTGCTGGAAAAGACATGCGTTTTATTGTTGATTTACTATCCAGAAACCACTTGCTGCATTCTCGTTGGTTGTGGAGGAGGCTTCACTTTTGCTTTTCAAAGATATTCGGTTGTCTGTTTGCAGCCATTTTCACATGTGAAACAGCTCATTTTGAGAGGAGCTCAAAATATGCAGAACAGAGCAGACTTAAACCTCATTATGTAAGAATTATTTTGTGCAAAAAACGAATGAACATGCTTTGTATCACCCATAGACCTAACCTAACCTGTTCAAGGAAGTGTTGCAGCTCATCTTTAAACAACTGCTTTGGAAGATTACATAAAAACTTCCCTTTAAGCTCTGAAAAAACCCAGTGCCCAGTTTGTGCTAGCTGAACTCAGACTCTGCTTTTTGAGCTTGTGACCAACCTGAACAGCGTGAGGACACAGGTTCCCTCGGCTCCGCTGAGGACCGGCTGGTCTTCAGACAGCAGGTCTGCCTTGTTACCACATGGCGGAGCCACAGCTTCTTCGTCAAGCAGCGCTGTTAGCACCTTTACCGTTTCTCGCCCTCCATATGCAGTGGCGTGGTTGACTGCGTAAGCTTTTGGCTGAAGACAGAAACGGCTGCAATCAGAACTTTACAGTGAAATCTAATAGCGTAGAGCTTTTAGAGATGAGGATGACGATTACCCTAGCAGGACTTATACCCGTCCCATCCACATTAGCAGCTTGTTTCTGGGTCTGGTGAAGCTGGACAATCCTCTCTTTAAGCTCTTTTGTAGTTTCTTCTGCAGCAGTGTAAACTGGATCTCCAGTACTGCTTCCTTTCACCAAAGCTGCTCTGATGGTGGCCAGCAGCCTGGCTCCACATTCACTGAAGGAAGTAAAAAAAATAAAAAAATAAAAAAAAAAATTCTCCAGACACCATCTTGTCATTTAGCACAAAGAAACAACCTAAAATAGTAAAAGTTTAGATTGATTTACTGTCAGACAGTGAGAGAATCTTCAACCGAGTAAAATCAATAACTGTATATATGGTGATAGACTTTTGATCGATATCAATAAATGATATCTGATATTCAATAATTTCACTAAAACTTCACTGTAAGCAGCTGCTCAAACTCTCACAAGTTTAGTGGAATCCACTCGCTCTCGAGTTGCTAGGTTACCTGCTAGGTTACCTAGCACCTCGCTAGGTAACCTAGCAACTCGCTAGGTAACCTAGCAACTCGCTAGGTAACCTAGCGAGTTGCTAGGTTACCTAGCAACTCGCTCACTCTGTCGTTACCTAGCAACAACCTGTTGAGTAACTGGCACAGCAGCAGTTTAAGGTTTCACCACTGCCTCACAGTGAAAGCTGAATGAAACAGTAAATGTCACGACACTATGTAGTTTGGCAGTTTTTCAGATATTCAAAACAAAAAAAAAACTAATAAATATTTATCATTAGGCGGATATAAAATGGTTATATCGTGACATATCGTCCAACAGAGTACGTAAATACTCAACTTTAAGCACTCACAAGATATACTGCAGCTTTGCTTTTGGTTATTTGGACATTGGCTTTAAAGGCAAAGCAAACGCATTTCAGTATTTTTATTTCATTGCAATGCTTTGCCAATAGTAATAGTTGTGAAAAATGTTCCCAACTTGTAATAAAGTCACCTTGCACTCAGCCGTACCTTTCAGCATTTACTGGATTCACTGTTAAGTGCACTAAGGCGTGCAGGAAAAGACGTCCACAAGGTGGAAAGGTGGTGCTCCGACCCTGACCCAGCACTGAGGCTCTGTAACAATATCACTTGGGAAAACAGATGTTCGCCGAACGAGGGGCGCTGAAGGTGTTTGAGGGAATACAGTACTCTGCTGAGAACGTAAAGGCCCTGCTAGTTGAATGATGCATGTTGGACGAGGTAATCAACATCTCATTAGACGGGATGAACTGCAAAGCCCTCTGAAAAGCAGCTGGAGTTCACACTGCATAAACATGACAACATGTTATGTCTGAACAGAAAGAGAGATTATTTCACTTCAGGGACTGAAGACCTGAAACGGCTTCCCCTTCCAAATTTACGTGATTGAATTGATAAATCATTTCTGATAATCGCTTTTGTTGTGACGCCAAGCTCCTTGACGTCTAAACATGATCTGTATTATGTGCAGAGCTCAAGGATTGATCAAAGTCAGGGAACCAGAAGAAGCACGGCTTTGATGTTGCAAAAATTAACACGCTTATCTTGTGTTGTCTTGGGAAAAAAAAATAAAAAATGAATAGGATTTTTTAGAAATAAGAACCTGCTTTAGCACAGGTGTATTTTATGACTACAGGTGCGAATAAGTGAATACTTGTGCTGGCCTGCTCCTTATCCAGGAAGCTGGAAAAATTCCCACCCTCTTACCTTGAACAGGATGTGCCTGGTTTAGCTTTCAGGCACATCGTGAAAGCTAAATGTGCTAAAGTAAAGTGATTTTACCACAAAGGAAAGAAATGTTAACTTTACTTTAAGATTTATTTGTACTTGTGTAATTTTATTATAAACTACCACTACTTTTACTTGAGTAACATTTCTGGACTTTCTCCCCTCTGAATGAAAAACAAACATGTTTTAACCAAAAACTCAAGAGACACAGATCCACACCTGCAGCTTCTGTTAAAGTTTCATAATTTTTTAATTGATTTGGAAACATTTTCTTTTATCTAATTTTGTTACTTCTAATAATTATTATATCCTTAAAATACCAACATTTCCTGTTATTTTATATTTTGGACTACCTGATTGTGTAATTTTTAAATATGAAATGATTGATAATTATTTAATAGTTACTCAGTAGTTGGGTAGGCTTTTTAATTTCATGGATGGCTACTTTTTACTTTTACTTGAGTAAAAATATGTTGAAGTAGTGCTACTGTTACTACTACAAGTTTTTACCCAAAGAGTACCTTAAAAACTACCACGAATCTTTAACTCCAGACAAGAATATCGGGTACAAATTAACAAGTTACACTGTGAACTGCAGTCCAAGTTGGGATGAAGCTGTGCTGCGTACCTTGGGTCAGGAATTTCCCCCAGTATTTCCTCCAGGTTGTCCATGAACTGGACGTAGTCAGACAGGCCTTTGATATGCTTCCTGAGGGGATCAGACTCTGCGGGTGCGTACCCCTTCCCTCCAAGCTGGATGGCTCTAACGAAAGATGTCACAGCCTGAAAAGGCCACAAAAAACCCCCAAATGTTGCAGCTACAAGAAAGACTCCATGTTTAGTTGTGCTGCTAATGTGTGAACTGAATAAACGTGGATCTTCTTACCAGGAAGAGAGATGTTTGGCTGTCTCGCGCGGCACGCTTGACGTCAGTGAATGCCTGCCGTTGCAGAGAGCGACAGGGAACGTTGAGGGTGAGGGCCAAGGCCATGTCGTTCTTAGAGTTCACCAGCAAACTCAGATAGGAGCAGAAAACTCGCCTCACTGCCATTTTAATCTGTGCCAATAAACAGAAAACGGATCATTTTAGCATAAAGCTAAATAATTTAATCACAGGAAATATTGTTTTCGCAACACAATCAGACTCCTGTTTGTATTTTAGTGAGATATCTGTTATTAGAGAAGTCAGGCATGAAACATGAAACCAGACTGAAAGGGGGACGGATAGATGTAGGAATGAAATAATTAATTGGATTAATTACAATTAATCACAATGAATCACGATTAACCACGATTAAGTGATTATCAAAATAATCACCAGCTAATTTCATACTTAATTACATGGTAATCAATTATTACCTGACATATGTAGACTCAAAAAAAGGCTATTTGTTGAAAAACGACCCTTTTGTAGAGGTAATTAAGTCAAAAATATTTCACCCAAAACTCCTCAAGCTGATTGATGGGTAAGTGACTGATGAGAGAATGAATCAGGGTTTCTCCCATTGTCTTATAAGCCTGGCGGGCCGTCAGGCTTTACTTGTGCCTCCACCAGACTTAGCATTGCTTATTTTCTTAACTTTTATATATATATATGTGTATATATTTGCATTTTTAAGTCTTTATAGTTGGTGTTCTGGTATTAATCTTCCAATAACACATAATTATCAAGTGATATTTTCAAATTTCCTGTCAACTTTAAACATTTTTTAACTCAAAAACACGACGGGCTGCTGGATGAATAACTGCCTTAGCACCTCAACCACAAGGCTCAGCAAGTTTTCTGAAGGGAAACCTTGATGAATAGATGTAAGAAACTGATGAATGGATTGATAGATTGATGACAGTGGAACAGGTGGAAAAAACGGTTAGACACACAGATGGATAAGTGAATAACCATCCAACAACTTTTTTTTTTTTTTTTTTGCATTTGCAGTGAATTTCTACATTTTTCTTCTTTTATGCTCGGTACTTTGTAAACAATTCACCAAAATCTCAGATTATATCAGAAAGGGCAAATATAACGGTTGCTTCACAGCAAAGCACTCAAACTTGGACTGTTTTGAGCTCACAAAGAATAAAAGCGGGCTAAAAGTGGTAAAATAGCAGCAAGTCTTGGCTGAAACCTCATAAATTAGCAAGTGACAGAAGGAGGAAGCAGACTGTGTTACAGAAGCTCCTGTTGAGCTCCACACCGAGCCAAGTGTTAAACATCCGCGCCGTAATTGATTTCACATTACACTCCGAAACCTGAGTGATGTGATATAGAGTTCCTGTCAATAGGAACAGGATGGATTCCAGACCAGAAAGGCTGGAAAAGCAAAACCCTGGATCAGTGGAAGCAGGTAAAAAGGCTTGCATGCTGCTACAAGTGGAAACGGAGAGGATTTATTACAGGATTGGGCCTACCTGGGAGCGGCAGCGCCTGCTTTGACTAGACGGCGTTAAAGGAGATGATGAATCTGGGAGATCTGGGGTTTCCATGTTACCTGACAGGAACTCAAACAGCTGGATCTTGGTAAAGGAATAAGCAACATGTTAGAGATTTCCACTATTTTACCATTTATTTATACTTCTTCAACTATCACCTCTTTTTTGGAGTAATATGTTTTCTTGGGATTTTATGTGACCAATGAAAAGTTAAGAAGTGGAAGAAAAAATACTTGAAAATCTGAAAAGTGTGGCACACATTTGTATCCTGAGCAGGGGTGAACCGACTTCCTTAATTTTGGGAGGTTGGTGATCGGCCGATACTTTCATGTGAAGTCGATCTTATTTACTTCTGCAAAGGACTAAAATCAACCCCGTCGTCTTCTGATTTTCGGTGAGAGAGGTTTGTCTCAGGAATGCACCATGTGGCTGATATCCGATATGCCGATATACTAAAACTCATTTGGCTGATATCCGATACCATTGCCAATATTTTTTTTTCCTGTATCTACTTACTGAAAGTACATGGTTTTCTCTACTGTGGAATTAAAATACTGTATTATTTTTGTCAAGTTAGCCTGGTGCCAAATGTAAAATGCTAAAAAGGAGGCTAAACTTTCAACTTGCTTTATGTTTGATGTCAAATTCATTCATGACATCTGTCTGCTCTCTCTAAGCCAATGTCAACACTCACAGTGCAAATTTGTAAATCTTCACAAAGCTAAACTCAACTTGTTCACAAGCAAATATCCAAATATCGGAAACCAGAGATCGGCCAGAAAGCTGCAATCAGTGCAGCTGTAGTCGTGAGTCAGTAATTTATAAGGTCACTGTTGGTTGAAGCTGAAGTTATAGATCATTTATCCTGCCATCTATCATTTACTATAATTTCTTATAATGGTAAATTCCAATTAATGATGTATAAAAATCTCTAAAACTGTTTTTAGGACTGTTGGACAATTAGCTTAATAATTTTTCCCTGCAGAAAATCATCCCTGTTTGCTATTTGTTGTCAATCATGCTGATATTGAAGTTGACACAACTGCTGGACTGGATTTTATTTAGTGCCATCAATGTAAAAGGGGGCAGAAATGTGAAAACCTCACACTTTCCTTTCTTAATCGCAATTAACCACATAAAATCCCAAAAAATACATCAAAACTTTGTGTTTGGAATGTGAAAAAATGTGTGAAAGTCATTTATTATCCTCATCTCTATCTCTTCTAATAATAAAACATTGATTTTGTTATCATCCAGCTCCTGCTCACCGCGCTCACAGGTTCCTCCGGATACGAACCCGCCGCTCTCAGCTCCTTGTTCATGGCCAGAACATCCGTAAGGTCCACAGTGTTGGAGCGTTTCAGGAAAGATTGGTACGCTTCCAGGAAGAGCTCAGAGTTGTCCAGGCGAGCGGCGCCGGGGGGCAGCAGGTGAAGTTTGTCCAGCAGAAGGTGTTTCCACGCCATCAGGACGTCGCTTAGATCCACCTTGAACTCTCCCTGATGCTGTCGATTGGAGGAGAAGACATGGTGAGTACTAACAGTCAAGGACAAATCGGGTCAGGAGCAGAAACTAAAACAAAACCAAGAAGAAAAAAAAAAGAACGCAACTGGAAGGCTGTGCAACATCACGATGTGAAGAGATGAGTTTAATTTGTACTACTTTGTTTAATAAACCTTAATGGTAGGGAAAATAAGAGTGTCAGTTATTAATATTAACATGTAATTAAAGCATTTTTTCCAGTATGCCTCATTTTGCCCAGAAAATCTCTTCCAAATGGAAGAACTTTGTTAGACTGCATTAAAGAAGGAAAAGTTTTTTTTTTGTAATATTGAATTGCTTTCCCAGGATAAACATACTTAAATTAAATTTGGAGGTTATGCTGCTGCAGCAGAACATTTATTTTAAAACTGCAGTACGTAACTTTTATTAAAAATGTTTATTAGTATCCCAATCTTTCAACAACACATAATTATCAAGTGATATTTTCAAATTTTCTGTCAACTTTAAACATTTTTTAACTCAAAAACACAATGGCCGCTGAATGAATGACCGCCCTAGCGTCCAACCACCGGGCTTAGCAAGTTTTCTGGAGGAAACCCTGCTCTTGGATACCTTAACTATTATTTCTTTGTTAATCCAGGTTACATTTTTGAATACTAACAAATAGAGAAGTGAATCTGCTACCTGCTTGTTGACCTCAGCCATGGCCAGCTGAAGCACCATCAGCATGCTGTCAGCTCCATGAACGGTGGTCCTCTCTGATGGTAAAACCCTGTGGGACTCCTTTCTGAAGGTTTTTACCATCAGCTTCAGATGGTCTGCGAATGCTGTCATTGTTTCCTGAAAGAAAAGTTACAGAAAACTGTCCTGAACATTTACAAGTACATCTAAAATATTGAAATATCATGTAGACGCTCAATATTTGTCAAGAGTTCAAGCCTTTATTTGTTGTGATTTTTGTCATTAAGTCTTGCAAGTAATGAAAGCCAAAAATGTTGTGTCTCGGAAAATTTGAGTATTACATCAAAGATCAACGAAAAAACATGTATTATCTTCAGAAATGTCAGGGTTCTGAGAGGTATAACCATTTTTATGCAATGAATACTTGGTTGGGGCTCCTTTTGCATGAATTACATCATGGCAATTTTTTTTATCTGTTTATAGAGTGTTCCACTTTTTACAGATTTTCCCTTATGGGCTGACCTGTTGGCTGGCAGTTTATTATTTTAATAAAGCAGACAACCACATAAAATGTTAAATACATTAAGATAAATTTATATTAATTACCAAGCATACTACATGCACTCATTGAAATGCTAAATTAAAAAGCTAGGTGTAAATAAAGTAAATTTAAAAGTACACCACGACTGATTCGTGTTGATTTCTTTCTAAATGGACAATATGTCTCTGAGAGCCTACAACTTTAAATTATCTAACAGTCGTTTTGAATAAATCTATTTTTTCTTTTTGATTATAGTTATATTTATGCCTCCATCATTATTGTTCCGACATACATTTATAGAAATGTCAATAAACTTTGGATTAATCAGTTCTAACCTGTTATAATGTTCCCAGCCTTCAGCAGCGAGTCAACCAGAAACCAGCTGCCGATTTGAACGTTTAAATCTACGATGATGTTTTGCCTTCCAGCCAATCAGCTCTGAGCAAGAATCAGTTGTGGTTTCCCGATATTGTTTTGAATGTCCGTCAAATTTTGCGACGTTATGATAGTACATTTTGAAAATATTGTTGTAGAAAAGACTTTAATAATAATGTATTGTAGTATTTTGTAAACTAACTCTATATTTTTGGGTTTGTCTATCACCCATCCCCCCCTAATTTTTCCAGTCAATGGTACGCTCCGGTGACGTATGTGGAAATAGGGCAGAAAACATTTCCAAGGCGCGCTGTATTTGATTCAGCGAGCCCATTTAAAGACCAACTCGGTAAATATTCACGTTATATTTGCGTTTATGATATGAACACACCCTTATAACGAAACTAATTCATCTGTGGTCCATTTGGACTATGAAAGTAGACAACCTTTATACTTCGTATCCATGTGACTTTTACGGTTAGCTTCAACACCTATCGTGGTAGTAAAGAAGAATACATTTAAGTTAAAAAAAACTGTATGAACTGTTTATTACTGCTAGATACCAGCCATACTTCAGGAGAAGCTGTGCATAAGTGATTTGTTACGATTGTGTGTATTATTTCAGCTTACTTCCAGCAAATCAGAGGGAAATTATGTGTATAGTTAACACCTCGTTCCAACAAATATGGACAAAAGCAGGAAGACACAAAAGCATTCGTAGTCAGTCTTACAAATTAAAAAGAGTAAATTTGTATTAAACTTCCCTGCACAGGTTTAATTTTTTTACCCATTTTTCTTTTATATTATCTTGAGATTAGTCAGTTTGCATGGAAACCCTCAGCTCTAAGTGTCTTCTGCAGCTTTAACCCTGATGTTTCTGTGACGTTCCTGGGGTCTTCTTGTTCACTGCTGTTCTTTATAAAAACCTCTGAACCCTTCACCGAACAGTGTTATTTATACTGGGGTTATTGGTGTCCTCTGTAGGGAACTGGTTGCAGGAGGTGTCAGAATAAAGGGCTTTGTGCTGGTTAATCTCATAAAATCCCAGGAAAATAAATTGAGGATTGAGGAAGTAACATGATGTTCTAGCATGGGTTCTGCTTTTCCTACTGGACCGAAGCTGTGTTTAATTTTAACAACCTGTATCTGTCTATTCAGAGATGAAAATCTGCCTTTTACAGTGTCAGCCAAAGCTTATCGTTCGTCTGTGAACTAATGTGGCTTGTCTGTTTCCTGTTTTATTGCTGCGCTTCCAGTAGATCTCTGACCTGAAGCCAACTTTGCCAGACCCCGACATGCAGGAGGACCTGACCCGCAGTCCCAGCTACACCGTGACGTGTGAGGACTACGTCCACGTGGTCGAGTTCAGCCCTTTCAGCTCGGGTTCTCCTGCCTCTCTGCTGGCCTACGGTGGAAACCAGTATGTGATGGTGGGCACCTGCCTCTTCCAAGTAAGAGATGTGGCTCCACGCTGCCAGATTTACCCACCGCAGTGTTTGTCTTTGCCATTAAACACGAATCTGCTTCCGCAGGAGGAGGACATGGAGGTGGACGGGGTCCAGTTCAATGCTCTCCGAGCTTTTCATCATGACTTGCGGGTTGACGCTCTGGCTTGGAGTCCCGAGTCGCGGTTGGACAGGATACCCACCATCAGGTATCGCCTTTCAAGATAATTCACATGTTGACTGGTAACGGCATATTGTATCATTAAGGATTAGATATGCTGTTTGTTTTGCAGCCCACACACAACGCAAAGGTTTCACTGACATCCATGTTCAGGAGTTTAAGTTTATTTTTGCTCTAATATCAACCACAAGAGCCCCTTGGCTCCTCAGATGCTTCTTCATTGGTGCGATAATCCAAATGCTTTGCTTGGAAGTGTTTGATTAGGGCTGCAAGTTGGCTGTTGAAAGGACTTTTTTCACTTGGAGGCTCAAAGTGCTACACAGCTGAAAGTAAGGTTTAATATCTGCCTGATTGGAAAAGACTCGCCCTCTTTCTCTTCTAATGTAATTGAATTAATTTTGTTTCCTGTGACAGTTGAACTGCAAGGATAAAAATGTAAAGGGAAGAAAAGCTTCTTTCTGGATTAAAGTAAACGACCTCAAAGCTATTACTTCTACAGCTCTGGAAAAAATTAAGAGACCACTTAAAATGATCAGTTTTTCTGATTTTACTTCTTTTTATAAGTATATGTTTGAAGAAAATGAACATTGTTTTTTTATTTTATGAACTATTGATATGTCTCTGAAATTCCAAGCAAAAATGTAGTATTGCAGAAAAATAACAAAAAAGATGTAGAGCTTTCAAACCTCAAATAATGCAAAGAAAACAAGTTCATGCTCATTTAGAGACAACAATACGGATGTTTTAACTCAGGAATCAATATTTGGTGGAGGGTCAGTGCTTTGGGCTGACGTTTTTCCATATATATATATAGATAGATAGATAGATAGATAGATAAAATGGATATAAATATAGAAATATAACCAATTTTCCCCCACCTTACTTCACCTCTGATTTGAATTAATTCAACTGGCGTCACTGAATTTGCTTCGCAACCAGATCCCTTCAGTTGGTCAGTTTTCAGCAATGAACAGGAAGCGTAAGAGGAGCAATCAGTTTTCTAAGTGATGTAGCAGTGCTGGATCGCTCCAACTCATCATAAATCGGATGAAACGCTGCAGGAAGCCGCTTCAGGCTGCAGGCGGCGGATCAAACCTGTCACCAGTCTCTAACAGAGATGGGAAATACGAGCTCAGCCTGTGATGCTTTCCACCACTTTTAGCAACAATCCCACCTCATGGTGTGTTTGTGAAATAATTTGACCTATAAACTCCTCTGAACAAGCATTTTAATCAGAAAACAACAAAAAATATCACAAATGAGCAAATAATTGATTATTGGTTTAGTCAAGAGGTGTTCAATGTGTGGTTTGTGGGCCATTTTAGGCCCCTGAACTGAATTTTTTTTTTCTTGTTACCAGTCCATGCAATTCAAGAATTATTACTTCCTTATTAAAATATTATTGCATTCTTCCTGAGGTACAACACTAAGTATTTGTCCTTTAAAATAGTTATTTTTAAATGAGAAGACATCTATTCAGTGACTTTTAATCAAAGCACTCTTTATTGAGCTTAAATCTGCTTATTGATTGATTAAAATTCAAAGAAACATTTATACGGAGGAAGAATAGGGCCACTAGAAAAAGAAAATAATTTACTTTTCTTTGAATTCGGAGAAA